CCACAAGGAGGGGCCCGAACGACTCACACCAGGACGAGGCGCCCGAACGACTCACACCACGAGGAGCCCGAACGACTCACACCACGACGAGGGCCCCGAACGACTCACACCACGAGGAGCCCGAACGAGTCACACCAGGAGGAGGGGCCCGAACGACTCACACCAGGACGAGGGGCCCGAACAACTCACACCACGAGAAGCCCGAACGACTCACACCAGGACGAAGAGCCCGAACGACTCACACCACGAAGAGCCCGAACGACTCACACCAGGAAGAAGGGCCCGAACGACTCACACCAGGACGAGAAACCCCAAACGACTCAAATCACGAGGAGCGCTTTCTCTCCCTCCTCCTCCGCCTCGTCCTTCTCCCGCTCCTCCCACAAGGAGGATGTACAAGGAGGCGGGAGGAAGGAGGAACAGGGGAGATATGCGGGGCCAAGCGGACACACGCCTGAAAAACACGGCAGTCGGCATGTTTCGCAAGAGTTGCTGCTGTGAGATGGGCTGGTGGGGATACGCGGAGCGTAAAGAATTGAAGTAGTAGTAGTAGTTGTAGTAGTAGTAGTCGTAGTAGTAGTAGTAGTAGAAGTAGTAGTAGTAGTAGTTGTAGTTGTAGTAGTAGTAGTAGTAGTAGTCGTAGTAGTAGTAGTAGTAGTCGTAGTAGTAGTAGTAGTAGTAGTAGTAGTAATAGTAGTAGTAGCAGTAGTAACAGTAGTAGTAGTAGTAGTAGTAGTAGTAGTAGTCGTAAAATCAGTAGTAGTGGTCTAGTAGTAGTAGTAGTAGTAGTAGTAGTAGTAGTAGTAGTAGTAGTGATAGTCGTAGCAGTCGTAATAGTATTAGTGGTGGTAGTAGTAGAAGAAGAAGAAGTAGTAGTAGTAGTAGTAGTAGTACTACTGGAAGTAGTAGTAATAGTAGTACTTGTATTCGTAATAGTAATCGTAATAGTAATACCAGTAGTCACCATAGTAGTAGTAGTAGTAGTAGTAGTAGTAGCAGTAGTCGTAGAAGTAGTAGTATAGTAGTAGCAGTAGTAGCAGTAGTAGTAGTAGCAGTAGTAGTAGTAGTAGTAGTAGTAGTAGTAGTGATAGTAGTAGCAATCGTAATAGTATTAGTGGTGGTAGTAGTAGAAGAAGAAGTAGTAGTAGTAGTAGTAGTACTACTGGAAGTAGTAGTAATAGTAGTACTTGTATTCGTAATAGTAATCGTAATAGTAATACCAGTAGTCGCCATAGTAGTAGTAGTAGTAGTAGTAGTAGCAGTAGTCGTAGAAGTAGTAGTATAGTAGTAGCAGTAGTAGCAGTGGTAGTAGTAGTAGCAGTAGTAGTAGTAGTAGTAGTAGTAGTAGTAGTAGTAGTAGTCGTAGTCGTAGTAGTAGTAGTGATAATACTAGTCTCGTCGTCGTCGCCGTCGCCGTCGTCGTAGTTGTAGTCGTAGTCGCAGTAATAATAATAATACTAATAATAATAATAATAATACAAATGGTGGTGGTAGTCCTAGCGCCCAGAACGAGCCACAAGAGGGCCCAACAGAGCTTCAAGAGGGCTCAAAAGGCCCGCACCAAGGGGCCCAAGAGGGGTAACCTGAACTGAGATTTCGAGCCCTTCTGCCTCAGGTCCCCTAAGAGGCCCCCAGAAGCCCCCAAGAGGCCCCCAAGGGGCCCAAAGGGCCCCACGAGGCTCCGAAAATACCACACGAGAACGCAGGCCAGCACCTACGATGACACAGTGAGCCCCGAAGTGGGTCCCAAGACGACCCAAGAGCGCCTCAAGGGGGGGAAATGGTGCCCACGAGAGGGGGCAACAACAGCCATGTCGAGCCTTCTGCCCCTAGATTCCCACGATCCCTCACGCAACAGTGCAATGAACCTCCCTACCACATGGACGCGCGGACAAACGCCCGCGATGAAACAGCCTGGGCCGGCGGAGTTGAAGGCGCCCTGGGACACACAAATAAATACACACAAATCAAAGGGTTCCCGATATTTTTCAATATTTTCTGGCCACCTCCCATATTTTCACATATTTTCTGGGTAGTCGACGATTGCGTCTGTGAGTTTTTTCCCTCCTGAGGAGTGAGCGAAGCGCTTCCCAGCTTTATCCAAAATGGGGAGACGAGCAGTCGCGAGTTCAGTGCTTGAGTCTTCTGGATCTTTCTAAGGCACTTGTTACATGTCACGGCCATGTGGGCGCCGAGGCACGCACGCACCTGCCGAATCCCACCAGCCCTCTGGGCGCAGGCGGCCTAGGGTGTTCCCTCTTCCACCCCCTCCTTCCCCTACGGGGAGGCGTGTACCCCTCCCCCTTCAACCCCCTTCCTGGACCTGGACGGGCCGTTCCGCGAGCGGTCGGAGGGCCTAAGATGGCCCAAGTTGGCTCCAAGAGGGCCTCAGAGAGCCCAAGATGGCCTCGAAGATGGCTCAAGATAGCGCAAGATGCCTCGAGATGGCCTCCGAGATGCCCCAAGAAGCCCCAAGACCGCTTCAAGACGGCTCCAAGTGGCCAAAAGAGCTCCCCAAGTGGGGATGTCCAACTCTTGGGGGAACATGTTGGTCTATACGTCGGTCTTGAAGACCGCCGCGGTCCCACAAATTCACCCCCCGAGCGAAAAAAACTGTTGTTTTTGTTGGAACGCTTCGCTGACAGAGCGCAGAACTACCTGAAGTAGCGTTTGAAAAATACCCCCGCCATAAACTAAGTGCCGATTTTTCCTGAAACGCAATGTTTGCATCGCTCGTTTTCTAAGTTTTCGCTCGCTCGCCATACGCGGGCTGCAAATCAGCAGCCAATATTGTTCTTAAGCGCAGTTGTTTCATTGCTGATTTCCGAAATTACACTCGCTTGCCATACAGGGGGGGTGGGGCAGTGGCCTACAGGGAGCAGTCGGTTAAGGCGCCAGCCGCGACGGATTGTTCATTCTTGTTCTTTCTGCGTGGGGCCTGGGGCCAGCACCGCATGTCTCTGATCTCTGAGTCGCGCATCTCTGCGAGCTGGGGCCGAAAAAAAGTATCAATAGCATATTGAATCGTCTCCCTCTTCCTGCTGTTTCTCCTCGCTCATCCTCCACATCCTTCTCCTCCCGCCTCCTCCTCTTCAGCTGTGCGACCCGTGCTCAAGCAGAGGCAAAAATACGGCACTGGCCTACTTGACCAGATGCTTCGTGGCCTTTACGAAGGCTTGGTCGCCCTTCGACCCGCCCTTGGTGGCCTTGGCCTTCGCCTTTGGCGTCGGGCCCATGAAGGCCGCGGGCAGCGTGAGCTTGTGTCCCTTGAGCTCTACGGGCGAGGGTGGGAAAGCCCCGCGCGTGACAGGGGCCTGGGCGAAGCCTACATACTTGCTGCTGAACTTCAGGTAGTGAATCTTGCAATCAACCTGGACCTTCACAGTCTGTAGGAAGTTGGTCCACGCGTGCTCGAACTTGAAATTGGTCGAGTGCAGCTCCATGGACGGGGTCTGAGTCTGATCCGATTTCGTTTTCTTCTTCTTGCTGCCCTCGGTGGTATCATCATCGACCTGGCCCTTGCGCTTCTTCGACGTCTTCACCTCGGGGATGCACCACGCGGGGACGAAGCCGTCGTGGTCGAACGAACCGAACGGCCCCGCCTCCACGAAAAAGTGCTGGCCGAACGCTGAGCGCACGTGCAGCGACGGGATCTTGTCATTATGCCCCCTGGTGATCTTACCAGCGAAGTTCATGACCGTGGTGTCAGAGACGTCATCCGCCGTAGGCTTCCTCTGGGCAGTCGGCAACGCCATGTCCACCTTGATGTTCGACAGGTTCTTGTCGGGGAAGAGCGCGACCTTGTCTACGGAGAGGGTCGAAGTGGCCGAGCAGATGAACGTGTGGTAGAGGTACTGCTCCAATGCCATCATGAAGCTCAAAACGTTTGGCCCAACCACGCTGGTCGAACTACCATCCGACGACGGAGGGGCCCACTGGTTGCGAATCGAAGTAATTGTCATCGCCGCATCTTCTGGTAGCACCTCGCTGGGGGGGGCGGATCCTGCAGGCCCTGTGCCGCGGATGGGGCAGACACCGAATCCCAAAGCTTCTTGAGCCCCTCTACATCCAAGTCGCCACCAGCTTCGCGCTGCTGGAAGATGAAGCCGAACATATCGCAAAGGAACTTTACCCAGGCTTCCTGTTGGGCTGTCTGACGGATGTACCAGACCACCCCCACCACCAGGGACTACTCAGACTACTAACCATACGAGGGTAACTCAGAATCAGCAACACTCCAAACTAACACATTAGACCAGGTGGTGGGTGGTGGGGCGCGGCTGCCGCGCGCCGCCACCTGGTCGAATGTGTTAGTTTGGAGTGCCGCGGCATCCGCCACAAAACCCACGTCACCTGACCGACGTCGTAGAACTTGCACGACTGGTTCAAGAGGAAATCGCCCAAGTCCGAGCCAGGCGCGGCGACCTTGCCCAACTGCTCAAAGACGCAGCCGTAGTCCTTCTCGGTCACCTTAGAGCTGCCGCCCACCATCGCCCCCAACAGCTCCAGCGAGTACCCCCAGTGAAGCCTTGAAGCCCTGAGCGCAGAGTCCCAGTCGGGGAAGAGGCCATTCGAGCGGTCGCACAGGTTGATCTTCGTGTACTCCAGGTCCTTCCTGGCCTCGGGGTGGTTGACGATGGCCATGACCACCCCGCAGAACTTCATGAAATTGGCAGGGCAAACGTCCCGAAGCGACTCGTGCGTGATCTTGAAGAGCTCCTCCATCTGGACGGTCCCCGACACCTTGCCACCAAGCGACGTCGCGAGGCTGGCAAACGCAGGGTGGAACTTCGAGTCCACCCTCGTGTTGTTGGAGTTAAGGAACAAGGTGGACTGCAATACCGCGTCTTGAGACCTCGAGAGCACATTGAGGCCCTCGAAGAACTCCGCCACCGTCGCGTCACGTTGAAGAACTCCTGCGTCAGCCTCGGACTTGCCGTCAAATTCTGACAGTGAAGCAACCGCTTGTTCCGCGCTCTTCTTGGCGAGGTGCTCAATGACGCCCTTCACCGTGGTCACTGCTTTCGGGTCGTTCAGCATGATGTTAGACCAGTGGGGCACGTTGAAATTCCCAGCCGAACCGTGGAGATCGACAAAGGCCGACTCGATCTCTCGCCACCTCGCTTTCCAGCTCCCCTTGGGCTCCCCGAGTGCGAACGCGATAGACTTCATAACCAGCGGCTGCGCACTCTCGTAGCCCTTCATCTTCAGGCAGCTCATGAGAACGCTGACCTTCTTGATCATGGTGAGCGCCCAAACGTCGTCGGCATGACCAGGCATTTGTTTGAACAGCCTGCTCAACAAGGTCTTCGTGGTGGTCGGGTCCTTGAGGAGCCACGGGTATGCGCTTGCGGGTCCTGGCACGTGCTGCACGCACAGCTTGAGCAGCTCCGTCGACAGGACCTTCCAGGCATCAATGTCGCAGATTCCCTTCTCGATCTTCTCCATCGTGGCGCACGCGTCCCTCATGCAGTGGCACGCAACATCTTTACGAAAGGTGCGATCTGTAAAGTCGGCGAACTTTTCCATGTGCAGCTTCACTGAGGACCAAACCCCGATCCGATTCATGAAGTTGTAAGCTTTCTTGGCCGACTCGTAATGGTAGGGGTTGGTAAACCAGTCGGCGCCCTCGTGGTCAAGGCCCCCGATCTGTTGGGCGACGAACCGACGGTAGATGTTCTGGAAAGTGAACTCGCCCGCCGTTGGGCACGACGCTGAGCTGATCCTGTTGTTCCTGCAATATGACGACCAAGCATCTTCGATTACCGCTGTCATTTCGAGAACCTCCACGAGCGTCGCACCAACGCCCATGTGGAAAGAGTTATGTTTCGCTTTCAACCAGTCCAGGACAAAATCTGGAGTGCACGCCTTGAGGCGCATGCAACCCGCGATGCCTGACTTCTCAAGGCGCTTGATGTTGACGTTGTCGGGTCCATGCGTTTCGCCACCTTCGCAGCCTCCATGATGCTCGCGCCGCCCATGAGCTGGTTCTTTTGGTCGAGCTTGGCGGCCCCGCTCTCGCCGTCGTCGTTCACGGCCAAGAGCCGACCGCGAAATGCTTCCATCATGCCGTCGCGGAGGATAATCTTCGCGTACTTCTGGGTCGTGGCGTCCTGGCGCCTGCTGTTGCGAGGGTGCCTGCACGCCAGCTCAACGTTGTAGCGACCAGCTGCATCTGGAACACCACCCCAGATGTGTAGAGTGTAATTCTCATTCTCCGCGTACGTCTTCTTCGCGAACTGCCGCGCCTCGCTCATGGGGACTGCGTCCAGCTGTTCTATGCTGTTGATCATGTGAAGCATGTCGGGCGCGAGCGGCAATGACGCAGTAGCCGCAGCGGGGGAAGTAGCTGTCTGAGTAGCGTCCTGCGTTCGAAGCAACAAAACAGTAAGGAGGAGGGGGAGGAGGTCAGGATGAGTTGGAGGAGGATGAGGATTATCATTTTTCAAATGAGGGCGAGGAGGAGGAGGAGGAGGAGAAGGAGGAGGAGGACGAGGAGGAGGAGGAGGAGGGGACGAGGGCAGAATCAAGCCCCCCCCCCGTCGAGGGCGGCCCACGAAACGCACCGCTTTTCCCTCCTCCTCCCCTCCCAGCTCCCCTCCTCTGTTTGGCCAAAACTCCCCCTCATCCTCCTCCTCGTCCGCGTGACTTGGCCATCGGGCGGGGTGGGATGATGTCCCACCGAGGCCCGATGGGGGGGATTCTAGACCAAAAACAGGCGTCAATATTTTTAAAAAATTTTGACGCTCGATTTTGGGCTGTTCACGGCCCCATCTACACGCGCACTCAGAAAGCCCGTTAACAAACATGTAGTCCTCCTCCTCCTCCTCCTCCTCCACCTCCTCCTCCTCCTCCTCCTCCTCCTCCTCCCCCTCCCCTCCTCCACCTGGGCATTTCTTCCAGTCATATCCTGGGCAGACGCGAGAAGACGCGCCGCCTCGAGAGCCATCTCGCCGTCGACCACATCCGCGCCGACACCGCCAGCCGCCAGCAGGGTGTTCATGTTCGAAACGCGCTCGGCCGCGCTGTGCTCCTCAACGGGTGTTTTTGTTCAATAATCTTTTTTACCAAGGGAAGGGTCACCCTAACATCCGCCCCATTTTAAGGTGACCCTTGGCGCCCTCTCAGGAAAAAACAAAAAATCGTCGCCGGAAGCACACAGGCTTCGGATCAGAAGGGTTCGTGTTTAGGTGTGGGGTGATGGCCTGTCGGCAATCCGCCAATCCCAACATCTGCCCTCGAGTCCTGAGACCCCGAGCCAGCAGGCCCCCCAGGCGACGCCGACGCCATGGCAGCGCAAGGCAAGGCACAGTTGGAAGACACGGGAAACTGGTCGCCTAGAAGCGGCTGCGAGGCGGTGACGCCGATCCAAACCTTGCGGCCACAACGCTCCCGCAGATGAGTTGCGGACCCAGGGTGGCAAAGAATTTGCGGGCCCCAAGGCCCCCACAAATGGTTTGCGAGCCCCTCAGCCCGCCCCACGAATGATTTGCAGCCCAAAAACCGCCCCACAAATGGTTTGTGACACCCAGGTGGCCCCACAAATGGTTTGCGAGCCCCCCAGCCGCTCCCCGCAAAGGATTTGCGGGCCCCAGGACCCCCACAAATGGTTTGCGAGCCCCTCAGCCCCCCCACAAATGATTTGTAGCCCCAAAACCGCCCCGCAAATGGTTTGTGACACCCAGGTGGCCCCACAAATGGTTTGTGAGCCCCCCAGCCGCTCCCCGCAAAGGATTTGCGGGCCCCAGGACCCCCACAAATGGTTTGTGGGCCCCCAGCCCCCCCCCCCCCCCCCCCCCCCCACGCACCACACACACACACACACACACACACACACACACACACACACACACACACACACACACCACACACACACACACACAACACACACACGCGCACACAAATGATTTGTAGCCCCAAAACCGCCCCGCAAATGGTTTGCGACGCCCGCGTGGCCCCACAAATGGTTTGTGAGCCCCCCGGCCTCCCCCCACAAAGGATTTGTGGGCCCCCAGGCCCCCCCCCCCACAAATGATTGTGGGCCCCAGCCCCCCCCCCCCCCCCCCGCAAACGATTTGTAGCACCCAGCCGCTCCCCACAAAGGATTTGTGGACCCCAGGGCCCCCGCGCGCGATTTGCGAGCCCCCCTGCCTCCCACGCATGATTTGTGATTCCTGAGGGCCACTCGGCAAACGATGTGCCACATGCATGTTGTTGGCATGTTTACATACATGTTCCCCTATCGAATCATTGCGACAGCCAGGCTGCACACATCGCACGCACTTGCTTCGACAAGGACGGCAGTGCAGGGCCAGAACTCGAACTGCTGGTGGAACCTGCTTCGCAGAACCACCTAGGCAAATATGTTATGTGCTGCGGAAAGGCTGGCAGAGGTATCGAACTACAAACCACGTGTTTCCGCGCGCAGTCCTCATGGCTGGCCATCAAGCACACAGGACATTGGATTGCGCGTTCTTGTGAGCACAACCCACACATGTCTGTAAACGTGCAACCTTGCTGCGCAATGCGCAACATTGAGATCAAACGTTCTATCTCGGGGGGCAGCGATGGCCTCCCTTGGTCTTTCCTAATCTTGGACATCGCCTCTCCTACATCATCGACCAAGAGCTCAATGACGTCGCGAGACCAATCGAAACTTTCGCATCCTATTCTGAGACCTGCCCCTCCCACGGGCGGCTGGGGATTGCTAGAGGCAGGCAGGGCGGCAGCGGCCTTCAGGGGGGCAACCGAGAACTTCACCTTCGAGGGTATGGCGCAAGGAGGAGGATAAGGAGGAGGCGGGGAGCAGAATGAGGATAAGGAGGAGGAGGATAAGGAGGACGAGGAGGAGGAGGAGGAGGAGGAGGGGGAGGAGGAGCAGGAGGAGGAGGAGGAGGACGAGATCATGTTGTTCTAAACCTGTTTAGAACATCATCCCACCCTGCCCGATGGCGAGGTCAAGCCGCGAGGACGAGGAGGAGGAGGAGGAGGAGGGGGAGGGGGAGGGGGAGGAGGTGGAGGAGGAGGAGGAGGAGGACTACATGTTTGTTAACGGGCTGTCTTAGTACGCGTGTAGATTGGGCCGTGAATCAGTGATCAGCCCAAAAAACGAGCGTCAAATTTTTTAAAAATATTGAGGCCTGTTTTTGGCCTGGAATCCCCCCCCCCCCCCCGGGTCTCGGTGGGACATCATCCCACCCCACCAGATGGCGATGCCAAGGCATGCGGGCGAGGTGGAGGATGAGGAGGAGGAGGGGGATGAGGAGGATGGGGCGGAGGAGGAGGCAGATGAGGGAACGGAGGGCACCACCTTCATGCACTCGTCGAGCAGCACGCGCTGCCCGATGAAGATGTTCACGTTGACCCAGTGCACGAGCGTCGCCACCCCCTCCGAGCAGGTGCCCAACGCCACGAGGCTCATGTTCTTGCATATTTTTGATACGTCCCTCCTCTGCCACTGGGCTAGCGAGGCGACGCGCTTCGAGATTTCGCTGACCCACTGAGCACGGAATTCAGTGATGGCATCATCGCTGACAGCGGGCTGCAACCCAACGTCGTGATCGACAATAGCATCGGGCCCGTCGGGCCCGCGAGCTGCCACCGCCTCGGCGACCATGACGTCGCCCAAGTGCTCTCTGAAGTCATCAACTCGGGAGGGGCATGGGCAGAGCGGGAGGTCTGCGAGACGGGCACCATGCCATGAACATGCATTCGCATAGCCAACCTCGGCCGCGAAGCAAACGATAGAACGGGGCATGGGGGTGTCATCCTTTTGGTGGCATGGCGCCCGTCCTACATACCATTCGCTTCCCCATCCCTCTCATCGCCTCCGTCGCCATCAGGGCCATGATTCGCGTGCACGTCGTCTTCGGAGGCGCAGCCAGCCTGATCGCCTGGATCGCCATCCTCTGGAAAAAGCTCACGGCATGCTGAGCGCACTCTCTCGTCGATGGCCGCCTTCTTAGCCCCTCCCTTTGTTGATGCAGTCTTCGTAGTTGACTTGTGATGTTTATGAATCAGATGGCCAGCATCTCCGCCGAAAAAAAGCTGCCACTGCCTCGTCAGATTCTGCATCAAATGCTGACTCAAGGACGGCAACCATTTCGTCGTCCAGGTCCGAGTCTCCATCGACGCGGCCATCTTCCAGCGCGGGCGCAGGCGCACCCAGTGCATGACCTTCTGGGCGCGCATCGTTCAAGGTCAGCACGTCGTTGCCATTGCCCAGAGGAATGGGTTGAGAGTGATTCACCACGTCAAGGATGCACAATTTAACTTGCACCGCCTTCTTCTCGAGGTTGCATGCAGTATAGTGTGCTCCGATGAGATCACTGGTGCTCATAACGTCCCCTTGATGAATAAAGGCACCATCGGAAAGTCGGCATGAAACCATGAAGTCCTCCATGTAGTAGCTGCCACTGCGCAGCCAATACAGCCCGCCGTCGTCGAAAGAGATTGCCAGATCTGGGACTTTGAGTCGGTGCAGTTGCAGGCCCCATGGCTTTGCCCATTCCAAGGCAAGCGCGCGCGCTGGATCACATGGTGCGATGGCTGCAGGAGGCAGCGCTGTAATTCCACTTGGCTCCACTGGTGAGAAAACCTTATCAGGCGCAACAGGCCACATGCTGTGCAACGCATTCTCGAGAGCGGAGTGCGACACAGCATCTCGAATGATGGCGTCGACCTGGTGCTTGATGTCCCTCCACTTGACGAGTCTGTCTGCTCGAGATCCTTTGCCGAACTCTTTCCGCATCGCCACCCTGGCGTCGATCAGAGCCAAGTCTGCATGAGGTGCGAACTCGGCCTCATGCTGAATCATAGAATTTATGCCTTCCACCACCTGCATGGCGGCGGGCCACTCCTCCGCCAACCTACGCATCTTGTTCCACAGGAAGACGTTTGAGATAGTGCCATCGTGTGCAGCCTCTTTGACATCAGACAAAAAGACGTATTTCATCTCTAATGCGATGATATGAAGGCCGTTGTCATCAGCATCGAGCAGCGCCTTGCACATGCTCTGCCGCTTCGGGCAAGCTTCGTCCGCAGGGCGGTACGCCATCCACAACAACGTGTATGGGAAGTCACACACTAGCGTTGAAAACCTGCGCTTGAAGTTGACGTAGTTCCCCCTTGCTATGTGTACACCAATCTTCTTTCCGAATGATAAGATGTTTTGATATTCGAATCGCTCGTGGCCCAGCTGAGACACAACCTCATCCCACTTCGCAGAGGAAAGAAGAGCACGGAGCTGTTCCTCGATCTCAGCACCCCTGTACCACACCAAACGAACCATGTTCCCTGGCTCGCCATCCGCCCTGCGTTTGGTGATGCTGTAAATCAGATAATCGAAAGGCTTCCTCGCAATAGCCGAGATATCCCTGATGATCCACCAGTGGTCGTTGAAAATAACTTTGAAAGCAGCAGCCGCGCACGATCCCATTGTCTGAGCATAAGCTTGTCGTGAATCACCTTGTGCCGAATCATCTGCCAAGCTTAATGACTGCTCAGGCTGATCAGGTTGATCTCCCTGGGCCTTGGCCTTTGCCTTCGCAGCCTTTGCTTTAACTTTCGCAGCTGCCTTGGCCGCCGCTTTCTTCTGGCTCTCGGCGTGCTTATCAACTGATGGCTTGATTGCGACAGGCATCACCGACTGTACGCCATCTTTACCGCACTTTCCTATGTAGTCCTCGCACCTGGATATTTGCCCCCAGCGCCCAATGAGGGCCTTCGGTGGGATCCGTTTGAAAGCATCTGAGTTCACGCCAGCAACTTTCTGCGAAACTTTGCACACGTCGGCTGCATTCTCCCGCCACCACGTCAGCAACCTGCTCATGTCGCCGAAATATTTTAGATGCCTATCCGAGCGCACCGAAAGTCGTATGTCTTCTTGCTCGATGAACTGGTCAATTGCATCAAGCATGTCCTTAACCATCAAATGGTATTGGTGACACCAGCACTTTGAATCAATCGTCCAATCCAGTGGGTTTCTCAAATTGGCACGGTGGAATATACGCCTGCTGAAGACAACGTCAGGGCCATCGTCGAAACTCAGAACTCGAAATATCAACAACAAACAGTTTGAAACTGGCAATGTGTCTAGTCGGCGGGGCCAGGGGTCATCTCCAGCGCCTGCCACTGTGACTATCTCCCCGCCCAGGTCGGCGCTTGCTCCTGCCTCTTCTGCGCGGCTGGCGTCGCCGCCGTCGTCGCATATAGCTGGCGTTGCTTCAGCTGCGCCATCACACAGTGCGAAGCTTATACGATCAGTTCCCATTGAAAAGTTCATAACGCCAGCAGTCAAGAGACCCACCTGCTTATTCGCAAGGGCATGCACCAAGTTCCCAGCTGCGCCGAATCCCTTTCCACTCGTTGACTTTTGTATTTGCAATGGTGCCAGCATCCTGCGCTTAAAAACTGCAGCGTCGACGATATCATCGTCCATGTCTGCAACGGGCACAGGTAAGAAGCTCGCTGTCAGAAGCGTCGAATGCAGTTTGCTACGCTGCCAGATTTGAGCATTCGTGGCGTCCGCTTGCACCACGAATATGGCCGACGTCATGCCGACCGTTTGCTGCTGGACATGGTGACGGATTGTGCTGAGCATCTCGTGGAACCAACACTGGTGGGACACTAGTCTGGCCCTGCGCAGCGCGACCTCTTTCCTCACGATCGTTTGCCGTGACACGTCTTGGAAAAGTGCAAACCCCAATGATTGCGCCCCTGCACCAGATAGGATCCGTCTGGCCGCGAGCTGGAAACCTTGAATCCGCGAAAATGCTGATGAGTCGCTTTCTCGAACGCGAAGTTGCGACACCTCCTTCTCCAATGCAGTGTGTTTGGCAACAAATTCTCCGTGTTTCTTCGCTAGAGCCTGGTACTTGCGTCTCCACGAATCTGACGTGCGAGGTCGGCCAGGACCTCTTCGAAGCTTGTGCCGCTTATCCTGTGGCTCAGCTGAGGGTTTTCGCTTGAGATTTGTATCCGACTGTTCTCGTGGTGGCTCTGGTACATCTGGCGGGGCGGGCGGGGCGGGCGGGGCCGGCGGCGCGGGCACCCCCTTGTGGTTGGCGATTGCTACCAGCACGTCGTGCCAAGAGATGCCTGCAGGAAATTCCCATCCCATCTCCACCAACGCGTGCAAAATCATGTCTGCCAGATACATACATTGTCCACCAGCTTGTACTTCGTAGTTGTTTTTGAGGCGAGCAAAGGTGGCAGTACTGTATTTCGAGCTGGTCGAAGAGCCCGCAGACGACGCTAGCTGCGTCACAACCTCCCGAAAATTGGCAGCACTGATAACGAAACCATGCGTGCTATGATGTGCAATTTTGAATTTCAGTATGTTAATGACAAGTCAGAGGGAATGATCTGCTGACATTGGCCAAGTCTGTGAGCCAAAACGGCTGCGGAGGAGGACCAGGCGGGAGGTCGGAGGAGGACAACGACGAGACTGCGGAGGAGGGGGAGGAGGTGTTGTTTCAAACGAGTTTGAAAAAAGAGCGATGTAGAGGACTAGGAGGGCGATGAGGATGTTGCTTCCTGTTTCATCCATGTAGGCCCAAGCCAGGCCCACAAATGCACATCCAAGAAGGGGTATAAACAGACATGGTTTCGGCGATCTTGGACATCCCCATCCCCAAGGATGCCCCGAGGAAAATAAAATCCTTCCAAAACCTATGAAACAAAACTGTTTTTGGGTGTCCCGCCTTTTCGCTTCCGATGGCCCTCCGAGGCTTCAAGATGACTCAAACATAACCCAAGTGGGCCCCATGAGGGGCCCACGAGAGCCCCAAGACGACCCCAAGAGCGCCCAAGAGCGCTCCATGAGCGCCCCAAGAGCTCTCCAAGGGCCAAAATGCGTGCCAAGAGGGCCAAAAGAGGCGCCTAAGAGGCACCAAGAGGCGTCCCAGACGCCTCAAAGAGGCTCACAAGAGACCCCCAAGAGGCCTCAAGAGGATCCCTGAGGCACCCCAGACGCTCAAAGACCTCCCTGGGCCCGCCAAAAAAAAAACCTAGACGCCCCAAGAAGCCTCCAAAAACGCTTCCGAGGACAGACTGACAATAGCTCCCCTGCGAATCAAGTTTGGATGGGCCAAGCACGCCCCAAGACGCTCAAAAACGACAAGACATCCATATGTGTTTGTCTATTTCTGTTTCTCAATATGCTTGCATACTTCCCTTGTCATGGCACTTCGCCTGGGCATCGGTTATGGATGGGTTGGTGGGATACGCGAAGCGTCAACAATTCCTTACAGCCTTTCCAGGCCCAGGGAATCCAACTGGTACATGCGACTGCCACTTTGAACGCCACGCATTTCGGCCTTCTGAGCGACTCTCGACTGGCCGCTGCATACGAATGATGCACTGGCACGGCGTTGGGAATGCCACAAATGGCTCGCTCCACTAACCCGAAATCCCAAACAAATTGCTCATCTTGGGGGGCCAATTCCTACTTCCCCCCAGCTTCCGCCAACTTTCCGCCGGCTTGCGCCGGCGAAGCCGCACACGCTTACCTTCGCCGGCGTCCGCCAGGCTTCCGCCGAGTTGGTCATCCCTCGACAGCCTGAGCGGTGACAAAGCAGCAAACTGATCGAGTTGATCGTCACTCTCGGCAGCCTGAGCCGACGAATGGCTGATGACGGACGGATCGGGCGGGAAGGGAGCCAAGCAGGATGTCAGAGAGACCCTTGCAGGAAGACGCGTCAACCTCCCCAGACCTCCGACGTCATGTTTTTTCATAACGTCGACCCCCGAAGGTCTCGACACATTCCCCGGAAAAGTTTCATCCTGGGTCGGTTCTGACGGTCCCGAGCACTGGACTCATGTCCATCCGATCGCGGATTCGCCTTGCCGCTCCTCGATAACCAACCTCATCTTCTCGTTGTGCCCAGTGGCTTCCTCCGAAGCCCACTGCTGACGCTCTATCGACGTCAGGCACTCCTGCTTGAACGAGTCGATCAAAGAGTGGATCTCCTCCCTGCAGGTGAAGCGTTGGACGTCCACCTCCGGAGAAGCAGACCCACTCCGTGCATCGCAGCTATCAGACGCCAAGCCGCCCCCAGCGCCCCACTTCCCCCGATCACGCAGACTGCGCATGTCTGCCGCGCTTGCTCACACGCTCTCCAGTTCCCCCCTGCGGGACGGCCCGCGCAAGAGAGTATGGAGCGAAGCTGCGGCGGCGGGGCGGAGCGACGAGGCACTTGAGCTGCTGGTTGACGGGGAGGATCGGAGATGAACAAAAAGCATAAACATAAACTTTTGGCGCTCCGCGCGGGCTTCTTGGATCTAGCCTGGACCCCATCCCTGGCACGGAGCGGCGCCGCCTGGGAGGGCCCAGCGCGGATGCAATAGGTTTGTGGTATTTCTCTTCTTCGGTACAAACAACAGCTCGGGGGCCAACTCGGCGCCAATCTCTACTTTCAACCTCAGGCCGCTGCGGACACTGCGGGGTTGGCCCGTCGCCAGCTTCGAGGCCCGCCCCCATGCTTGCTTGCTGCACGATCCTTCCAAGCAACAGGGCCGGGCCCGGGCCACGCCACACCAAAAAGATGGCGAGGACGACGGGGACGACGAGGGCGAGGAACGGGGAAGGCGAGGGAGGAGGATGGGAGAGGGAGGCGAGAACGAACTAATGTTAAGTCGGGCCTGTCCCCCTACAGGGGGATTTTCTACGAAGAATAAAACATTATTATCCCGGCAAAGCAACCTAACAGCGATATGTAGAAGCATATCTGAAAGCATTCCCCTTAAGATTCAGATGAAAATCCAGTTGTAGAATTCTGCTGTTCTCGCAGTCGTAGTCGCATTCGCGATGACAGTCGCAGCGGCAACGGCAGTCGCAGTCACAGCCTCAGCCTCAGCCTGCCTCAGCCTCAGCCTCAGCCTGCCTCAGCCTCAGCCTGCCTCAGCCTCAGCCTCAGCCTGCTTCAGCCTCAGCCTCAGTCTGCCTTCAGCCTCGGCCTCAGCCTCAGCCTCAGCCTCAGCCCATCAGCCTCAGCCTCAGCCTCAGCCTCAGCCTCAGCCTCAGCCTCAGCCTCAGCCTCAGTCTGCTTCAGCCTCAGCCTCAGTCTGCCTTCAGCCTCGGCCTCAGCCTCAGCCTGCCTCAGCCTCAGCCTGCCTCGGCCGCAGCATCAGCCTGCCTCAGCATTCAAAATGTGGCCCAGGAATGGAGTTCTGGGAACTAGAAGAACACGAAGTGGCCTACAGTTGGCTCCGGGCATTCAAAATCATGCCCAGGAATGGAGTTCTGGGAACTTGAAGAGCACGAAGTGGCCTACAGTTGGCTCCGGGCATCCAAAATGTGGCCCGGGAATGGAGTTCTGGGAATCGAAGAGCACGAAGTGGCCTACAGTTGGCTCCGGGCATTCAAAATGTGGCCCGGGAATGGAGTTCTGGGAACTCGAAGAGCACGAAGTGGCCTACAGTTGGCTCCGGGCACTCAAAATGTAGCCCGGGAATGGAGTTCTGGGAGGTCGAAGAGCACGAAGTGTGTGACTGTTGGCGAAAAGCGAGCCCGGCTCTGTTCCCGGTTCTCCAGAATGTGGCCCGGGAATGAATGGAGGAGTTCTGGGAGGTCGAAGAGCACGAAGTGTGTGACTGTTGGCGAAAAACGATTCCCGGCTCTCCTCCCCAGCACCCGCCCAGACCTCCCTGAAGAGTCATGATGCTCTCTTTTGACCCTACTAGAAACCTATCAGCAAACGCTGTTAGGTAAAAAAGGCTCCTGCCCCCCCGACCCCCCTTCCTTAAGACCGACACGCGGACATCTTCTGCGGCGCGCGCTGGCCAGTACCTCGCGCCGCGGCCTCTTTGGGGCGCCCTGGGAGGCCCCTCGCAGGAGCCCTCCAGACCAAAGAACAAAACGGGCGGTTCGCAGAGGACTTTTCTCGTCGGCGGCGATGCAAATGGCTGCACCAACGATAAAGCTAAACGGGGACATCATGGATCGAATTGCCCAGCATGCAGGAGAAAGAAAAGCGACGGACAAGGCGGCCGCGGAGGAGGAGCTCGTAGAGGACAGAGGACGGAAAACTGCATGAACAAAACTGCATGAACTGCATGACTTGTTGGAGCTCCGCGCGGGAATTCTTGGATCTGCGCTGCCCCCCCCCCCCCGGCGGCGCCTCTGGCGCCGCCCCTGGCGCGCTCGCGAAGGCTCAGCCTCCATCCAAGAAATCCGCGCGGAGCTCCAACAATTTATGTCTGTACCGTTGTTTGTTCTTGCAGCTCGACCTGGAGTTTCGTCTTCCCCTTTGTTTTCACACTTTCTCTTAATTGTACAGGTAATCGACTATTTTGTTCTGCCTGTGCCTCTTCTCCTGAAGGCGGGGATGTCCAGGAGGGAAAACCGGGGATACGGCGGCCCCGATCCCCAATTCTGGGCAGCGTTCGACTGGACCAAAAATCTGGGGCACACCCCTGGGATATACGACAAAGGGGGGCGCCCATCCTCGATGCGGGGCGCGTCTGGACAGCCAACGCGAGGGTGCGCGCCAGAGTCCCCCAATCCCCCCCCCCCCCCCTTTCTTGACTACCTACCAGACCACCCCAACCCAACCCGAAGACGCGAATTTCGGGTTGGGGGGGGTACGGGTTCCACATGTGTTTTCTCTACGTTTCCCGGCCCCCCCCCCAGTGGAAATCGAGGGTAAATCTGAGCCTTCGGGTTGGGTTGGGGTGGTTTGGTGGGTGGTGATGAACGGCCAAACTTTCTGGGGCGGAGCTCGGGGACTGGGGGATCAAGATCGCCTGCGAAGGGGGTGGTCAGGAGGCAACTCTTGGGAGGTCCCCACTGGAACGATCAAGAGGGAAGGAGCCCGATGGACGGGCCACTGCGCCAAACCGGGCCGGATTAAGCTGGGATTCGGCGGGATTGAGCGGAGTTCAGCGGGGCCAATGCGAAGTCATCGAAATGAAGCCGGTGATCGGCCGCGAGAATGCCAGCGCCGATGCGGCATTCAATCTCCCAGGGGCTACATCCCACGAGAGGGAAGTGGCAAGGGGGAGGGGAGCACCTGCCTCGAGACACCGTCCTACTCGACAGCAACGGCCTCGGCAGGCGGAGGCGACCTCTGCCCCGCGCCCGCGCGGAGGCGACAGGGGCACCCACGGCGAGGAGCGGGAAGGCGGAAGGCGGCGGAGGGAGGAGGGTGGAGGGAGGAGGGTCCAGAGAGGGCGGAGGGAGGAGGGAGGAAGAGGATGGCTGGATGGTGGATGCGTGGATGGATGGATGGAGGGAGGGGGTGAGGAAGTGGCGGCGTGGCGGAGATGTGCACACACGTGCGCGCCGCGGGGGGCCAGCGCTGGACCTGACCAGCCCTGGACCCCGCGACCGTGACGAGGCCCTCGGGGACGCCGAAGTAGAGCAGCGCCACCTGCGGCCGAGAAGCTGGGCCGTGACCTCGGGATGGCAGGGAGAAGTGCCGTCACGCTCGGCCTTCTCCAGCAACTCCAGAAGTCGACCCTTCCTTTTCGGCACCGCGACAGCCTCCGAGACGCCGTCACCATCGGCGCCAGCGGGACCTGCGTGTCCATGAACTCCTCGGCGGCCGCACCGCCGCGCGCCTCCCCCTGCACCGCGCACGAGGCATCCACCGCACCCTCGGCCGACTCCATACGTCGAGCATCGCAAGGGTAGCCGCACGCCACCGCCGCACCACCACTTCGCCGCGGCTCAGGATGAGCCACGCGACGGCCAGTCACCTCCGAGTCCATGTCCACGCTCTCGCACACGCTGATCATGGAGTCCGTCACGCTCGGCATCTGGTCACAGGGCTGCCTGGCGCCCGCGCTGCAGTCAGGAACCAGCGCAGGCGCGGCGCCCACGTCGGCGGCCAGAGGGTCTTGATGATCATTGCCCCACTGGCCGAGGGGCACTGCGAGCCCCGACGCCTCCCAGAGGGAATACACCTCGGCGCCGCAAGTGCATCGGAGGCTCGATGACGTGGGCAGCGGTTCTCAGCGGCCCCCAGCGGGGAAGAACTCCGTCGACTCCGCTCGCAGATGGCCACCGAAGCTACCGCCACAACCCCATGGTTCGTGCCGAGCCCTGTCGCCTGCAGCCTTGGCGGCCCGCGCCTCGACGACGACGACCTCCGCGGGCAGCTTCACGAGGGTCGCAAGCTCCCACAAGGCGTCCCCGAGGCGGTGACGATGATGGCCAAGCTCCGCGTCGAGCCGCTGGTGGAGCAGGAGGGCATGCCCCAAAGCCGCCAGCCTCCCGCGCAGCCTCCACAGTGTCGCCGTCGATCCAGGACTCGATGCCGATGTCCTCAATGGCCTGGTCCGTCGCGCTGCTGACCAGCTCCATATCCGCCTTCAGTGAACGCTCGCGCCGAAGCCATCGTGCGAGGTTAGCAGCGGACTCCCTCGCCCAGTGACTCCTCCACTGACACACGCTCGGGCCGACGGCCCCGCAGGTCTCCCGCAGCCATCCTCAAACTCCACGCGGAACCCCTCCAGCAGCAAAAGCAGCAGCCCTACTGCACATCACGAGCTGGCTTGAGCAACAGGGGGTTCGCCCGCTGTGGACGGCTTCAGCCAAAATGGCTACGGAGGGAGGGATGGAGGGAGGAGGAGGAGGAGGAGGAGGGAGGAGGAGGGAGGAGGGAGGGAGGGAGGGAGGGGAGGGAGGAGGAGGAGAGGAGGAGGAGGAGGAGGAGGAGGATGAGGAGGAGGAGGAGGAGGAGGAGGGTGGGAGGAGGAGGGGAGGAGGAGGAGGAGGAGGGAGGAGGAGGAGGAGGAGGAGAAGGAGGAGGAGGAGAAGGAGGAGGAGGAGGAGGAGGAGGACAGGCCGGGGGATTGTGGAGTCGCTGTGGGTTTCAGACGAAAATTTACGATAGTTCAGTTTGTTCCTCATCATTATGCTGCTGTTTCCTTTCTCGTTTTCTCTCTCTCTCTCTCTCAATCTCTCCCACTCCCATTCCCATTCCATTCCCATTCCCAATACCATTACCATTACCATTCCCATCCCAATTCCCATTCCCATTCACATTACCGTTACC